TACTTTTCACCACGGAAAAAATAATAGATTTTATTATTCTGATCAGGCTTGAGATAAGGCTGTACGATAATTAATCCTTTAATTTTTGCAAATGGACAAAATAAAACTTCACTGATTTCCTGTCAGGCCGACGATAACAAATTATTTGTATTTATTTTTACTTTAAAAACTTTTTGTGAAGAGTTAATCATAGAAATGGGAAGAAAGGTTCTAAGAAAATGCGAAATTAATGACTCTGTAAATAATTGGCAACATATATATCAACTGTAGTAAGGTAATGACATAGTAGGAGTTCTCATAATTTTCAAGATTGTGACCTTATCAAAAGTTCCTGAGCCTTTTTTCATAGAAATTATAAATATTCAGCCATTTACCATTAAATATTACTAAGTACAGTATTTATACACTTCTGGACACATCTATTGGCCCACCTTAGAGTTTAGGTTTCGATGGCCCCTACCGAAATATGATTGCTAGATTGAACAAAACTGTTGATGCAGTTTTAAATCTGATACATTTTACCATCTTTTCGATCGTATTGTTTTAAATTTGAATTCAGAATACCATACGACATGGAGCTACGCCTAACAAGTCGGATATGCACCTTGTTAAAGGCAATTGATTTTTGAATAAAAAACATGTTTTATCAAATAAAGGTTTAATTTAATAACGAGTGTTGCCTCGATGGGCATCTACCACAGCTCTCATACGATTAGGCATAGAGTTTATCAACCGCTCTATGAAATTTTGAGGGATCATCTCCCATTCCTCTTCTATGGCAGTTTACAACTTCTGCATCGTCTGGGCAACTGGCTAACGAGCCCTAACACGTCTTTTTAGCTCGTCCCACATGTGCTCAATGGGGTTCATGTCTGGGCTTCGGGCTGGCCAGTCCATAACTGTGATGTTCGCATCCCGAAGATATTCCCTGACGATGCCGGCCGCATGGGCTCTTGCATTATCATGCATAAAAAGGAAATTTGGGCCCACATAGTCCGCGTATGGTATCACGTGAGGTTCTAAGCACTCATGAATGTACCTTTCAGCATTTAATGTTGGCAGCCGTGGTCCTGTAACAACCTCAAGTTGAGTTTTGCCGCTCGCGGATATACCGCCCCAGACAGTCCATGAGCCACCGCCATAGGCAACCCTCTCTTCAAAGCAGCATTGTGCGAAACGCTCTCCCTTACGTCGGTAGACCTTCTTCCTTCCATCATTGCCATGTAACACAATTTTAGACTCATCAGAAAAGAGTACACGGCTCCAATCTTGCTGTGTCCAATTTAAATGACTGCGTGCGAAATGAAGGCGCGCTGTTCGGTGAGCTCGCGTTAGTTTGGGCCCATTAGCTGGCTTCTGTGGTACCATATCGCGTTCTTTTAACCTTCTCCGAACAGTTAGAGCGCTCACAGATACTCCGTGGAAGTCGCGAATTTGTTTTTGTATCTCAATGGAGGTAAGGTGACGATTTCTCAAGCTGGTCGTCACGATGAATCGATCCTGCCTTTCAGTTGTGACCCGAGATCGTGGCCTTCCTTGGCGACGAACAAAACCGCCAGTCTCTAGGTACCTCCGATAAACATTTCGGACCGCAGATCGACTTAAATTAAGTTGAGCACTCACGTTTCTTTGGCTGTGTCCGGCCTGAATAAGTGCCACAGCTTGGGCGGCGACTTCAGGTGAAGTATTCATAGATTATTGATAGAACCTCACCTTAATGTTAAGAATAAGTAATGTTTGTTGCAAAACCAAAGATATCGATCACTTTTTCAAGAATTAAACCAATAAAACCAAGTTTTCTTAGTATTCGATTGTTTGATATCAACAAACAGGCTCCAAATTGTCTTTTGTTCCTTTAAATTCTGTGTTCGAAATTCAAAAAAGACTATTGAATGAAATTGTGAATGTGCCAGGTTCAAAACTGCATAAAAACTTTTTGCTCGACCTAATATAAAATTTTAGCTAGGACCAAACGAAACTGAAAATACAAGGTGGGCCAATAGATGTGTCCAGAAGTGTATATTGCCAGGGCAGTCGCTCGTACAAAACTTTACCATGTCCTTTGGATGTTTCGTGGTGAAAATTGAGTTTGTTATAACAGAATAGCACGGCAGGTATTTTTAACCAATTGAGATGAGATTTTGCATACACGTTTAGTTTGGATGACAGTGCAGGCGAAGTTATATGACGTCATTCTAAGTCCAATATGGCGGACGGCCCACGGCCCACGTTAGCGGACTGGCATTTTTTGTGGGTTCACAATGCCCATTAAGGGTATCGAATGAAAAGGTTTTTTTAAAGTATACCTATTGATAAAATAGTTGCTCGCTCTTGCTTCGCTTCGGTGTAGACTATACTGCTATAGGCTATAATATGTCACGCTACAAAATGATGCAAAAACGGGTAGAAATGTTCCATTTGCGAACTCCCGTTGCGTACGTTGTGTAAACGGTTAGAGTTACCCTAAAATAATTGTTTCCCTTTAAAATTTCTATAATGAAGTTTGCGACAGCATATGTCCTTCTTTTAAGTTTGACTCACTATAACATTTTACCTCAAATTACCGTGGGTGAAACTGCAGGGAACCTCTAGTTGTGACAACTGTAATAGTAAGACATATGGTATAACTGACTATTTGTAGATATTTATGTCCTCTATAAAACTTTAGTAATTCACTTTGCTCTATTGTCAATGACTTCCGCAGCGTACGCGATATATGGTAGGTTATTTTTTGGTATTTTTTTACGCGTTGGGTTACATTGTCGAAGCTCTCATACGGAATCCTAACTTTTTTGAAAATACTCTATAGCTTAAGTTCAACCGGGATAATTTAGAATTCTAAATGTGAAAGAATTTTTCAAATCAGTCCTGTAGTTTCTGAGCCTATTCAATACAAAGAAACAGTCAAATCTTTCCTCTTTATAATATTAGTATAGATTAACTGCATTGTGTGCGTATTCTATCTTAAAGCTTGGTCTTCCAATATAAACTTAATACAATAGAAAATTATAACCTTTTTTCATGAATGAAATCAATCATACTTTAAAAATTATTATTAGGTAGATAATTAAAAAACATACAATTATTAAGTAAGACCATGTTTTAAAGTATGATTAAAAAAAATGTGGACTGGATTATTCTTTAACAATATAAGAATTCTCTTATATTTTCTTTTAACAATAAGCAGATTTGTTCAGAACGCCTTTAGTAGAGCAAGATTATCAAGGTTAAGTTAGTCATTGTAACAAAATACCTTTATCTTGAAAAAACAGAATGCACAAAAAGTGGCCTAGACGTTCATTGTACATACTCGTAAACCGATTATTTTATCGAATAATGTATTGAAGCGTAAACATAAAATAATTATATCAAGCTGATCGTTAAAAGTAACAAATAATTGCCTTCGTAAACGTAAGTAGACGTAAAGATTTACATAGGTACATAATTCAATAAATAAAAAAAACTATTATGAAGAAAAGAACTTCACAAATCCCAAGCGTCTATAGACTATTGAGGCCGTTTCCCATCAGGCGGGCTTGTTTGCCACCCTTTTAACATAAAATAACTCAAAAAAATAGTTTAATAAATTTGCAATTAGGTATTATTATTATATGTATATTGCATTGAATAAAGGATGGATGAGTTTAAATTTTAATCTGAATTTGTGTTTCTGTAGCAAGTGAAAGTGTTGTCAAGAACAAATTGGAGGTGTTGTGGAGACAGTAAGTAAACTTTACGCTGCACTACCTAACATATATTTAATTTTCTTGTTTAAAAAGATATATATTATGGTCTCCAAGAAGCTAATTTATTAAATTTAAGCCTTTTGCAAAAAAAACGACACAGTTTTTTAAGTTCTTCGGCTTGTTTAGCTTGGCTTGTTTAGATTACAAAACATCAGAGAGCTAAAAAAAGGAATTGAAGTAGACACTAATAATACAAAATTTGGTGGAATGCGTTCTCAGAAAAATGTACGAAGTACTGCAATTTTGGCAAGAGGTTGTCACAATTTATTTTATAAGAATCTTGACTTTTTTATTATTAAAATGTATAAACAACTATTTTTATTGATCACTGCTTGTTGTTTAGAGCATAAATGTTATTGAATTCATCAAAAAGTTAAAGTAAATTTACTCAAATCAATTTAGAAGCTACCTAATTAAGTTATATAGATACGCAATTTCCTTTAAACACGTCCATCTCAAATTGAGAACGATTTTAGCGATTTCTGCATTTTTTTTGGGTTTCTGATACTTGGAGAAGGTCCTTGCAAAAAAATAAAGAGTGTAACAAATAAGCAAATTTTAGAAAACTTAACTTACAACTCCATCCGATAAGTTCATAAGTTGAGTTGAGTTGACGTCATTATGGATAAAGGCTACGTCACTTAATTTTATTAAAGCTAATTATCTGACATCGGTCTTGAAATGTAAATTTTCACAAGTGCCAACATTTTTCAAAGGAATATTTTTATGATTTGGTGCAGACTCTACAGTTAAATAATCTTCAATAGAAATCGTTTACTTACAAACATCTATAAGTATAAAGATCTTATTAAAGTAGTCGTCTCATTTATCAGTCAGACAGGTCAGCGAGGTCAATTAATGACTGATTTAAAAACCTTTAGGGGCTCACTTTGATAGTTTTTATCAAGTTACACACCTTCTTACTCACAAATCAAAATATCATTTGTAAATACTGAGAGCGTAATTAAGTTTACTTTCATTGCGAACAACGCCTGTCTTTTGAAATGAAAACAAAAAGATACAGCTTTGTTTCTTTATCATGTTAGTTAGAGACCGTGTTAGCGAATCGCATTCGATTCTACGTAAGAACACAAACAAAGACAGAGGTGGGGTTAGTGGGAATGCGGCAGCAGCTTTGTCATACGAATCTTGATCTAATACAATGTGTGTTCGTATAACCCATGTACTTTAGATGCTATGACACCACTCTACTTCTTCTATAGAAAACAAGGAAACTTCGTCGACTACACTTACTTCGTTCGAGGCGCGTGTGAAAATTTTCCTTTGATAGCTACAGTTCGTGTTAACTACAATGTTTGGTGTACATGATTGAACTCGCACACGTTTTCCCGGCGTCCATACAGTGAAGCTCACTATTTATACGGCACTATAGTTAGATCGGCAGCACGACTCGAACACTGAATCACAAATGAGAAAAATCTTCGCACACTGAGTGACCACCAGGCTCATTTGAATATAATTACGAGAGTACGCAACAGCGTAAAATCGTAACTGACAGATCTTGGGTCGAACGTGATCGTTATCAGTTATCAATTAAATGTAGTAAATAAGTTGTTATTTTGGTATATGTTTAGAAAATCACAACCATATTAACTGTGTGTGTGACTGGTGGTATTGGTAGCGACATGTTTTTTTTTTGTAAATGTAGCTACTTCTGTTAAATACTGTGAGTTTCTTGCGCTCCATTATTCTCATGAGCTAAAAGATGTCCTGAAATCTTTTAGCTCATGAGGGTAGGGGAAAATATTGGACGATTCAAAAGATGCTTCAATACTGCTATTAGTTAAGTAAATAAAATTAATAATAATATTGTTTATTTGCAACGTAATATTTTGGTTTGTGTTAATTTACATATTCATAATTACATGATTAGAGATTTTCATAATTACATTTTTCTTTCAACAATAACATGAGAATTAATTAATATATGAATCAATTTATTGTTATGATAAGCAATAGATTAAAAACTTAATGCGAATAAAAAACACAATAAATAAATAAAATAAATAATAACTTTTTCCTATTTATTTGCTGGAGAGTCTAGGAAGTAATTTTTGAATAAAAAAATGCATTTATTTATTTTATCTGGGAATGTCAACAGTATCAGCTGTTGATATTCCCATATATACCATAATAATTATTACCTATTTTTAATTAATCTTTTAAAATTATTGTTAACTAGTACTAACAGGTGACTCCACTTATTTCATCTTAATCTTAAAAAATGTATCGCAAGCTGCCACTTTACTACCTACATATCAATGTTGGTAAGTACATTTCATGATAAATTTATATTATACTAGCTGACCCAGCGAACTTCGTACCGCCCTAAAAAAATAGGGTTTGTCCAGCGGACAAAATTGTGAATCTAAACCATTCTCGGATCCCCTTGAACACACACAAAAAATTTCATCAAAATCGGTCCAGTCGTTTAAGAGAAGTTCAGTGACATACACACTCACAGAAGAATTATATATATAAAGATAATCACTTATGCTACAAGTCGAAATAACAAATAGGTAGCAGGTAAACGATGTGTATGTCTGTACATAATTATGATAAAAAATCTATTATAAACCATGAACGGCCATTTATATTTCACACAAAACATTAATGAATTTGCTATTCGAATCAGCAGGGATGGGTCTTGCAAATAAGTATTAGCTTGCTGTCTTTGCTTCTGTCAAATCCACATTAGTCAGTGTTCAGAAAACGAAATATAACAATAACGATCCGTTGTAAAACTTAGCAAGAGTGAAAACGGTACAGTTCTCTATTGACCGTAAAAATAAATCAAAGACTGAAAGTAAATTCTCAGATGGACTTTAAAGTGTTGCGTGTTGCAAACTAATTTCTCCAAAGAAAACGGTATTCTTAACAGATGCAGAATATTGGAAGTCGTTATTTGCTCCTCTACTTAGAGTAAATCAACAGAATAATCTATTTAAATGTTAGCATGGGCGTAATTAAGGGGTGGCAAGGGTGGGCGGTGCCCACCCTGAAATCGGTGCGTTGAAAAATATCTTTGTAGTTTATAAATTAATTATAGAATGAATGGTAGTAAAACTCTCCTAGGAATAATCCCTAGCAACGCCAATGAAGGTTAGTTTGATGCAAATAAATTTGGGTAAGTGATTCGAGCTTTGGAACCTTAACTACGGGGTTTGTAAATATTGTGAGTAGGGACGTCAGATGTCGTCGTGATATGTAATAGAAAATAAGTTTTCTTTTGTATTTATGCAGTACCTTCACTCTTAAAGGGACTGCTTTTTACGTATACCAGTTTTTTTAAGCAGCAAAGTGAACCGGCAAGGCTATTACTGTGTTGTAGACGTCTAAGGGTATTATCATAACACATGTCGAATTATGAAATATGAGCGGAGTGCATTCCGAAGACACCACGGACGAGTACAATAGGAGTGTTAGACGGCGGAGAAAGTAAGTTCGATGAACTAAATGAAAGTATGTAATGTGCGGTACGAAGGGTGTCTGGATGCGGGCAAGGACCCTTGTCCAGAAAGTAAAAGGCGAGCTTGGTCATCGTGACCGTGCACATTTTATTATGTCATCTCGCGAATGATTCTAAGGTCAACGACCCACGTTGATGCGTTGTGCATTTATTTCAACCTACGAATACAACGTCCGTGATTTTTTCATGCGTATATCAAAACGATTTTCATAAGCAAAGCTCCGAAATTGGTGATGTCACCGTCTGTTGAAGTTTCAGATCAGATGTACGTAAAGTCCTGGTTACAGAACTAACTTTTCTATATTGCCTCATCATTACGTGGCGTAATTTTATTTACTATCTCAGATCTAATGTCGTCCAGTTTATTTATGAAAACTGTTTATCTGTATATTCGTAAAAGAAACACAACACGTAATAATTGCGTTGGAGTTTATTTTCTGTTGTTAAATGAAACTCTTTAATCTCATTTATCTTTAATTACACGTACAGCATAATCACGGATGTTATACGCAATTATATGCAACGCTTAGGCTTAAACTGGTTTTAAGTATTACGCGCATTGTTAAGTGTAATCTCACATAACCGAACCTTTGATCGATTTTTTTTTTCACGATAAGGAATATTAATACGAAAGACTTTAGGCGATTTTGTCATTAAATCCTAATAAATACAATTATTTTCCAACTAGCGCAAACGCAACGCGCTAATAGTACTAATGGTATTACGATGTAGTTTTTATGCTACCATAGACTCTAATCTAAACAAGTTGAACTGCCTTATATACATTTTCTAGAAATCTAGACTGGTCGCTTAGCTTGGCATGTTCACGTTCAATAATGAAAAGATTTGTACTTAGATTTTTTTTAACATTATAGTTTTTTATATGAGATTTTATTAAGGCATGAACGGGGATGATAGCGGGTTAAGACGAGAGATGTGATATTTGAAATCAATATATCTCATGTTTTGATTATGTAAAAAAAGAAAAAAATATGAATTTCCAAAACTATCCAATTTTATTGTAAATGGAATCCACCTGCAAAGCTAGCTAAAGCGGCAGAATCCCTCCAGTAATTCTTACCTAGCTGGTCTGAACCTTATCCACCTACAGAAAAGACCACCAAAAGGTATGTAGTATATTTAACTTTTATAAAGCGGGCGCTCCGATCCGAGCAGAAATCCCATTATGAACCCATTATGAAATTATGGCGGCGTTTTTCCACGCCCGATCAACTGTGCTTGTTGTACAAAACGCAAGTGTAGGCAGGACCGCGTGGAATATTCCTCGCACCTCTGGAATGGCTCCGCCAAGGACTTGCTCGATGCTTTGGACAGGTTACAGCGGCGCGCGTTCCGCATCATAGGCGATGAGGAGGTGACTAAACACCTCGAGCCTCTTCAATTACGCCGTGACGTGGCATTACTAATCTGTACCACGGCGAGTGTTCTGAGGAGTTATTCTCTCTTATTCCACCTTCCCCTTTCCTTCAGAGGACCACGCGCGCTGGCCTACGTTGTCACCGTCTAATTGTGGCCACAATTCCAACGAGTAAAAATAAATTTTGTGATTCATTTGTTTGTCGCACTATCCGTAAATGGAATGCTCTGCCTTCCCTCCCTCTTACAACCTGGGATCCTTTAAAAGAGGCGTGAAGAAGCAACATGCAGGCCGGCAGGGTGAGGATGGCTGGTGTAGCAGGTAGAACTGCTGTATCAGCTATCTTCGCGTCTGGACTTCACCTTTACTAAACATCAGGTGGGGTGGAGACATTTGTCGGACCTATCTTAAAAAAAATGGCATACCTCTCTTAAATTCGATGGTCTCATTTGAATGCGTGATACTGTGGTAGCTTGCAGAAATAATAAAAAAAAACGAGTGTGCTTATCACCACACGACTGAAGTGAAACTTCTTTAACTCCATCTGTATATGTGTGTGTGTACAACATGTACATATACATATTTCATTTACTAGCTAGAAGAGAAAGAGAGAAAGAAAATGTGCGCGCGCACTGCTTTCTCTTGCTTATATCCCCCACTCAACTCCCGTTCGCCTCGCCCGAACACACTTTTCGTAACGCGTAACGCATTCGCCAGCTGGGGAGTAAGCTAAGTCAAGGGTGCGCAAAGAAGTTTCACTTCAAAAAGTGAATAAAAAAAATAAAGGAGTCTGCTTTTAATGAAACGTTGCTTTTGGACTTCGATCGTCGATCTAGTTTAATAAATATTGTACTTTGTGAGAGAGTTTTAATTAACATCCTTCCACTTCATATCTATCATAAGAGAAGTATGAACTGTTTTTAATATGTAAAGTTACTTCAGTGGGGGTAACAATTAATAAGTTCTTGATACTTACTAACGAACGTAAGTAGGTAACTACTTTTTAGCATAAATAAATAAATATTTCCAATACTCACACCAATTAGCCTAGCCCCAAAGTAAGCACTATAAGGCTTGTGTTATGGGATACTAGGGTAACGGATAGAATACATATACTGTACATATATAAGTATATTTATATAGAAAATACCATATTAAATACCCATGACTGGAGTACAAATGCTCGTATACATCACACAAACATCTGCCCCCACCGGGATTTGAACCCGGGACTTCTCGAGTCGGCGACACCATGAAACCCAGCGTACAAACCACTCGGCCACGGAGGTCGTCAAAAATATTTTCCTTTATCAATTGGAAATAATAAATGATTCCTCAGTTTTTTCTAGCTTTTCGGAACGAAGTTTTTTTTCGGACGACACGGACTTGTCAGATGGGGGCTAGAAGAAAAAAGTGTAAGATTTTTCCGTTACAACAGTCAGTTTGTTGCTTAGCGTATTGTGTGTAGTAGTGTACATATACTTCATATATACACTTATGTTTATTTTTAACTTCGTTCTAACCAACTGTTCCTCGACACTCACATTTGCATTTTTTGTTCAGTTATGCTTATAAACAGAATATAATACTCTGCTTATATAAAATGTCCTGAAAATTCCGTATTAAGTAGTACCTAAAAATTTTCCTCGTCTTCAACCCACTTCTGGCGATAATAAAACACCATGTATGCCGACTGCGTATAGCTGATTTGTAAAATTCAATCAATAATAGATATACATACAGCCCGCTGATAAATGCATGGACAATGGAAGGCTTAGTATAAAAAAATATTTTATGATCATCATTACATTACGTAATACAGCTATTGAGTCGATAAGCTCAAAGAATGCTGATACACAAGGATACAATGGTAGTGAAAGTGGATAAGCTCCGAGTTGGAAGTCGTCCAAACGAAAGTTAAATGAATAATCCTTTGAGCCTGACACGTTGCTTTATGCTTTACAGAGCAATCTTCCACAGATGGTAATATCCGGTGTAGTTAGTCATAATGTAGAAAATATGAGAATCGCAATGGTAATAATGTTAGTAAAATATATTACGCACTCCGATGTTTTTACACATTTTTTTAAACAATCCGAAAAATTGAAAAATTAAATAAATCGATTATAATACGTACTC